CTTTTGATCTGTGCGAAGTCATTCAATGTGGTAACAAAAACGCCTCTTACAGGCATGTAGACATAAATGTTTGTCCATGTGTGAGTTATGATCTCCGTGATTGTGGAGCAAAGTATGGTTACTTGTGGTTGTTGTTGCATCCCATGTATGAGATCCTTGTCAGATTAATTTCTGCAGCTATTGAAAAACAGGATCCAGCTGTAACACGTCAGATGCTCATGAGGGTAGCATCATCAGTTGACAACAGAGATGCTCTCCTGACAGAAAACTCCCTCCCACTGCTAAGATTTCGCAGTGTTGTGTGAATAGAGCTTTATCTGGTGTTTATCTGGAGGAGAGGTCCAGAGTGGGATTGTTGAGGTGAACAGTTTTATAATCAATTATATGCTTTGTTTACTTATTAGTAATCAGTGTATTCAGTAGAATCTTGAGTAAATTAGTTCTAGCAAAACTTATTAATGGATTTACTGAGTCAATAGTGAGAGACTGAGTGTGTAAACTGGGCCCCTTAGGAATGCAGGAGGGGGAAGGGAGGCTTGCTTGTTACCTCCTGTGCAGGAAAGGAAGCAGCAGAGGTCATGAGGTCATGGAGAGCAGGAGTGGAAAAGAAAGGCAGCAGTCTTCAGCAGATCAGACATCTTACCAGCAGCGAAGCTGAGTGCACCTGATTCCAGGTTGTCTGATGTCTCTCTTTAAATGCGCAATCAAAGATCTTGAATAATCTTGTATCATGCATTTTGCTTAACCTTTTATAATTACATTTAATAAAGGAGGGTTTGAACTTTTAAGTACTTGTATGTTCTATATTTCACCTCGGTAATAGGTCAACTCAGAGGAAAGGAAACGAGCTCGGGCGGAGTGAGTAAGGTTGTGGTTGTTCGCACAACAATACTGCACCTTTAACTTCTCTTTGTAGTTAAATATATATTTTAAACAAATAAAAGGTTGCTGTTTCACATAGAGTTTAGATCAGGACTAAACAAAAAAAAGCTACGGTGATCCGAATCCAACCGGACATATATTTTAGGCTAAATACCATTTGATGTGATCCCGTTTTAATTTAATCCTCACAGCTAAAATGTTCCAAAGTTTATAAAGACCTCAGCATTATTAGTCTTCGTGGAGACAATACCTGTGGATGTTCCGTGATGTTCTGACACGGAGCAAGTTGCAACCTGGAGCAGCGGTGAGTGTCAGCGAGGGTCCGGTTCTGTGACAGTAGGACCGCACGGAGCAGTCACTGTGCGGTTCTGTAACTTCTGTTCGGACCGGTCCGTACCAGGACTTGCTTGAAAAATTTTCAGGAGCAGTTTGAAGAGCTGATCATGGACATCCACGTTTTTTTTTTCCATCACTGCCTCGAGGTAAGTTTCTGTCATCCCGCTGCCTGCTGCAGGGATCTGGACATCCTGATGTATAAAACCCCTCAGCAGTGCAGGCACATGTTCTGGTTTATGTGCACTTATGGGGGCCATACAGCGGAGCGAGTCACTGAGCTTCAACTCATTTATTATTTCCTGAACACAGTAAGACTGTGGCTATGATCTACTGTATAATAA